GTCTCGCTGTTTTCTCTGTCGATCGCTCTAGAGGCGGAATGTCCCGTAGAGGCCTCACTCTCTGCAATGTGAGCACGGGATGGCGGTTTGATGCTGGAATGATGCTGCGTGGATGCCCTTTATGGCAGACAATTTTGATTCAGATGACTTCCGAGTGTGCATCTGCCCTCACATTTGAAGCGAAAATTGTATTGACAATCGAAGGGCTATCAAGCTTCGTCGAGACAAATGAAGGCAAATGAAGTACAAGAACCTGAAGATGATGTACTGAGCGTCAGGTAAGAATACATTGCCCCAGGCCGTATTCCGTTTCACCGCTTTTCTGGCTGACTCGGCCATCCTGAGATATGAACCGTGCCTTGTTTTGGTGGGGTTTTGGCTGTTTTTGCTGTTTGTTGGGTTGGGGGGGCTTGTTTGGTTGCTTCGGTTTCGTGCTTTGGCCGGTTCATTTCTCCCTCGCTTACTAGCTTAAGGTGACTTGTGCATAACCTGCACACACAGCGCCTCGACTCGTGCAAAAAAAATTCTAGAAGAATTAGTTGGAGATCTGCCGCACGGGAACTGTGGTTCATTGGAGCCCACTATGCCATTACACCTGAGGGAAGGGACTTAGTTGCCTTCAACTCTGCAAGGCATGCGAAAAGATCATCACCAAGGAGCACTGGAAAGCTGAGAGGACTGAAGCCACCGCCTCTACTCAAGTCACCACAAGCTCAGAGTGAATGAGCCTCACCTCGAAAGGGGGTGTGAAAGTGTGTGAGGTAGGTGCAGGCAAATGCAGTAGCTGTGAGGTTTTTACTTTTGGAGTGCGTAGTCTTGCATTTCGAGCGCTTGAGCAAGCGTTCTTTGATGGAACTTTGTGTTTAGAAGTGTTTTTGAGAGCTTTGTAGAGCAGAAGTCTTTGTAGCTTTTGTGTGAATGTTTCTTGAACAGTTGTGTGCATGTTTGAGTGCGTTTAAGCTCGACACTTTCAGTGTCTCGCATGGCAATTGCTTGTATGCAGGAATACCTCATAGCCTTTTGTACTTTACTTTGGCTCAAGGCCCAGAGCTTGAGAAACCAGAGCTCAAGGTGCGCGTAAAAGTGGTGCGAGTGCTTTCGCATTGCTTGTGAGCTGTTGCGCGTGCTTTCGTTTTGTCTTTAGGACGTTTGTAATCTACTTACTTAAGGCAGTAGGTTTTTCAGGGCAATTCCTGTTGTGTCGTCTGCCTCAACATAGCATGCGCCTTGTGCAAGTGTTCGCTGGCAGCAAGCTTTTCGTAGCAATTCACCCGCGCCCAAGCATTAGTTTCACCTTTGTCTCACATTGAACTCGTGAGATTTGCAGGATTTCCTGGTTTTTCGTCTTCTGGTGGGTTGCGTGTTGTTTTTGTTGGTGGGTGGTTTTGTTGTTTGTGTTGGTTGCTCTGTTTTCCGGAAATCCTAATCTCTACAACCGCTAACCTTCGCACTCCTGCGATAATGGCAGCCCCATGCGTGCAAAAAAATGTGAGGGAGACGGGCAGACCCAGAAGCCATCATGACACCAGATAGTCGAAGCAAGTGACGCATCCTGCTGTAGAAATTGAAGGGCAGCATACGTGACATGCGGTTCCAACCTTTCAAGAAACTTGAAAGGGGCAGGCCGATCCGCACCGTGCTTGGCGATTGGGGCCCAGCCAAGAGGGTGGGCCATGACATGCCGGGAGGCAGCTCGTGAGCAAACGCTGTAAGAGCAGGCGAAGCCGGCTCCATCAGCTGGCTGCAGGCAGGAAATCGTTTCAGAAGCAATGGAGCTATTGATGATCATTTCTTAGGAAGGTTATCGGGCGCTCCAGGGCGCACCGATTCAGACCAGCTTTGCGCGAGCCAGCTGCGCAATGAGGCAATAGGCAGCAAGGATAAATAGACCCCTCCTTGTCGACACAGGCGGCGTGTCAGTTCATAATGGGCACCTGACATGTCACCTCCCAATGGGTAGCACCAAAGAGGGCAAGTGGCACCGGCCGCGGAAGACGCTGCCCTGCATAGCCAACAACACAGTACCTTCCATGAGGTCCTGATAGTGCCGTTTTATAACCTACTGTGAGGGTACCTTGATGATGCATGGCGGTGGCAATGTAGTCTTCTATTCGAACTCTGTGCGTGGGGTGCTGACTGGCAACAAAGGGGGGGAGTGGCGTGCGGAGATCAGGGCATTTCGTTAGGACAAAAGCTGGCAGGGCACCCTCCTGCACGCTGAACAGGCTAAAGCCGAGCTTTTGCGCCAGGTGATAAGGTACAGGTGGTATATAGGTCGGTATGGCAAGCGGGTCCTTCCAGGCAGTCTGTGCAGTTGCACTGGCCTGACCTGCGAAATAGTCAGCTAGCTTGTTACACTCGCGTGGCAGGTAGACAAGCCTAAAAACAAATTGCGCAGCGGCTAGCAGAGCATAGCACTGCTCCATAAGTGTAACAATGCTAGCTCTCTTGAGTCGTCCTCGGTGCTGGAGATAATTGATGAGGGGTAATATGTCCCCCTGTATGACGATGCAATGGTAGCTCGACCCGACCCTGTACGGAGTACAGACGATAAGCCGTTTGTCATCAAATTGCACCAGGAGGCCATGCCAGTCCTCCGGTTCACGAAGCAGGATCATAGAGTTGTCATAGATAGCAGACGTGGCTTCAAGGCGTAGATGGGTCTGACCACAGTGACAGGAATAGGGCGCGAGTCTAGTTGTTGCGACCGGAAATGGTAGGTGCCTATGCTGAGTGAGAAGGAGACGAAGTCTGGTGTCTTGGGCAGAAAAGGTAGCAATTGTGTCCCCTACCTGAAAAGAGGCAAGTGTACGCAGGCCTTTGGCAGGAAAGAGGGCTGCATGAATGCGAACCTTTGGGTAGCGCTGCACCTCAACATGCCTGGCATCAACACAAGCTGGAGCAGATTCGCCGGGCCCCCCATTACCCGCATTCCGTCTTCGACATCGCCTAAGATAGGTACCAGTGAGGCGTGTTGCGCTCAATAACTCACATAATAATTGATAGTGTTCTCGTTTCTCTTTCGGGAGGGCCGCCGGAGCAAACACACAAGATGTCAATAATGCAGTGTCACTCGGGCAGCCCAACCGACATCACCGATGGCTTGCTGGTCCGTTTTCATAAGGCATCAAAAGCACAGCATTTTTGGAACAAAAATAACCACCCCCCCAGCAAAATCTTCTGAACTATCTACCAATTTTAGTGGTTCATGCGATCTCTGATGACGCCTAGGCGGATTTATTCGCGAAGGAGCACTACCGGCGGAACAGTGTTGCAATTGTGCCGATGCACAGTCCAAGCTACTTGCAACTCCCAAGGCGTAAGAACTCCAGTTTCACTTGATAAATGTTCATTAGCATATTGCAACTGGAAAGCGCCATTCAGCTTTGGATGCGTGAAGGGGCATGCGTGAATGGTGTGATGGTAGACCGGCCAGGGTCTCACTCGCAGCACTAGGAATTAATCACTTGGGAGGTCTACAGATTAGCCATCTAGTAGTGGCTGCGCTTGCAAGTGCAAGGTATGCATACATGACTCAATGCCTCCGAAATTAGGCCTGCACCTCAAGACAACACGTCGGACGCGCAATTTAGTTCACATTCGCAACCTCCTGCGGGAATTTGGTGTTGTTTCGTTGAGCCGTTGTGGTCCTTGACCGTGCTGTGTAAAAATGGCCTCGCAATTAGGTTTGGGGATTGGGTTCGAAGCTTTGCACATAGAAATTGTTTGCAGCAAGTGTCCAATGCGACGAATGAATGACAATGTATCACTGCAGGGCCGTGCATTTGACATCCTGCGGTTAGATGTTAGCAGTTTTGCAATGTTGCCATTTTTATGGCTAAGGTTTTAGTTTCAACTTGCAACACCACCCCAGCCTTGAAAAGGAACTCGCACTCCTGTTCCGAGTCCTCTCTACATGACTATCTGGCCTGCGACACTGTCTCGATAGAATCTCCCCTGACCCACAGCTGGAACTTCATAAGCAGAGTGAATGTAGCCAATGAAAGAAAGGAGATCCACAAATGAGATCCGAAATTGGTTTCCAGTGCCCTCGCCGAAGATTACAACGCAGATGTTGAGTAGCCTGAGTAGCTGGATCAAGTCGGAAAGAGGTGAGACGAGACTTAAGGCACAACATATTCATATTCCCTCCACGTACTCGATGCGCAGTGCGCAGACAGTGTAATGGCTTTTGGATAGGGAAGATATTCGCTGTCAGCGTGTTCCCTTGCTTTGTCGGTTGCTTTCAATGTGGAACTGCGAACTGCGACTTTACCTGCTTCCAATTCCCAGGGATTTTAAGCCACTAGACATTTTCATCAATCAAACAATGGTCAGTTTACTTGAGGGGCTTTTAGACAAATATCACTCACGCTGGAACAACATCCACCTTGCAGGCGAAGAGCAACGACAAGCTTGCTCTCACCATTTTTCTGCATGTTTGTCGTGCATTTCCTGGTTCAAACAGTGCACACGCCTTCGCAACATCTTGTCTATCATTCCCTTCTTCTTTGACCATGGGCCTTGAGGCACATTTGCAGCATGCGTCTCTCTTGAAGAAGGTCGCTGAATCTATGAAGGACTTGTTCCTTGGAAGCAGTCACACATTCCTTTCAGCAAGTGCTGTTGACGAGAGTGATTGGGTTGAATGACCAATTTTCTTCACATGCCTGTGCTGCGAACGTTGAGAGTTGCATCGCGTAAGGTGCAAGGACGTGAACTTCGACTGCTCGGAGAAGGGCATTGAGGTGCAATGCATGGACAGCTCACATGTAGCATTGGTCTCTGTTTTGCTGAGAGAGTCTGCCTTTGCCGAGCCCTCAAGCAACGTTTGAGCACACATTGTACTCCTTTCTCATTTGTCTTTTTGGATTCCTGTCAAGTTGAGCCCCGATCTCAAGGGAAATCTTGCCAAACAGTGGAACATCTTGTGATCCACCTCTGGATTCCTTGCGAACTTGGTCCCAAGGTTCAAGTGTGACCGTCCAGTTTCGCTTGGCATGAACATTGACTCGTTGACCAAGATCCTGAAGATGACAGGTGCAACTGACTCGTTGAAGATTCGACACCAGACAGATGCCGACACAGTGAACTTCCAGTGTGAAGGCTCAGATGATCGCATTGCCGACTTCGATTTGAAGCTCATGCAAATCGAGAGCGAACACATGGAAATCCCGGAGCAGCACTACAAGGTTGTCGCGAAGTTGCCTTCTTCTGAATTTCAGAAGGTTTGCCGTGACTTGAAGGAGTTTGGCGAGACCATTCAGATCACTGGCAGCAAAGAAGGGTTGAAATTCATGGTGCAGGGTGATTTGGGCAGCGGCAATGTGATGTTGAAGCCTCGTGAGGGAGAGAAGCCCGAGGAGAAGGTATCACTCACAGTCCATGAGCCAGTTACTGCCACATTTGCGCTTCGCTATTTGGTGAATTTTGCGAAGGCCTGCAAAATTAAAAAGACAAGTTTTGTTCAGTGACTTTGACGACTGATTCTTGCCAAATAGGTGCAGGCTGCTGCCGGCAGAGTATACTTGTAGCAAAAGGTGTAACAATCACTTATCTAGGAAACCTTTCGAAAATGATTGCATGGACTGGGACTCTGCTTGGAGCACACAGGCAGAGAAGCTTTGTGGTTCCGTTGAACTGGGTCTTAGTCCTGATGCTCCCCTGCTGGTGAAGTATGACTTGGAGACTGCAGACAAGGGCCACATGCAGTTCTATCTTGCGCCAAAGATAGACGAGTGATGAAGTTGCTTTGATTCTCAAGTATCACAGCATGCGTGGTGCTGTTGCTAGAAGACTGCAGTATTTTAGCACGCAATGCTGTCTATATTTTGAGTGTAGTCAACTCGATTGCTTAGGGAAGCACTGCTGGGGTTGCAGTGTAACGAAGGTCCATTTCGTCGTGTGAAAAACGAGTTTGGTGTCATTTGAAGCATGGTCAATCGCCTCCCACTTTAGGCCCACTTGAGATGGACATGGGGACGCAAAGCCCAAACCTCACAGGCTACTGACCATGAGGCAACTCACCTTCTAAGACGAAGCACTTTTTGACCATTCCTCACTTCCCTGCAACATTTCCGGAGCATGTCCTGTTAGAGTGTGGAAAGCACGTTCTGCAGTTTCTGGGGATTAAGCTCGTACATGAGTAAATCTCCAACAGCAAGGAGCACATGGATTGGACTCCAGCTAGCCAAGAACCCAAGCAACCCAGCCGCTTCCACTGTCTTCCGCTGACTCGACTGGATCTATTGTTATTCATTTAACACAAGATAATCCTGTTTTGGCAGTCGTTGCTGTTCAGCAGGACAAGCAAGAGCAACAGCATCCCACTTCACCAGCCAGGTGCGCTTCAAATTTCAGCATTACGCTTGTGCCATGGCTGATCCTGGTGCCATGGTACCGAGTTATCCGCCGCCGGAAGGCTATGCCTACCCCTACGGCTCCTCGGCACCGCCCAGCTATGGTGCGCCTCCCAGCAGCTACCCGCCGCCGGACCCGTATGGCTACCCGCCGCCCAGCTACGGTGCGCCGCCCGCCGGGTACGGTGCGCCGCCGAGCGGGTATGGCTATCCACCACCTCCGGCCTACGGGACACCCCCGCCGGACTACGGCGCGGCCTACGGGGCACCTGCAAGCTACGGAGCGCCCGCTCCTGGCTATGGGGCGCCCCCACCGGGCTATGGGGCACCACCGGGCTATGGGGCGCCGTATGGATCCGCCACCTCATCCTCTGCCCCGGGATATGGAGCGCAGGGGAACCTAGATCATGCAGATGATGCATTTCCTTTGATTGGAGGAAAGAGAACTGCCGTCACAGCGGGGGTTAGTGTTGGCTGGGAAGATCCATGTTCGTTTTTGGCGAGGTTAGAGAAGACCTCTTCCTCCGCAACTTGGCAGCCAAAAGTAAGGAAGTAAGGAAGAGCGTGCCGGCATCAACGTACGATAGGGTTAGATCAATCAAAGTCAAGGTTTGCACCTGCTACCTGCTACTGTTGCTTGAAATTTCATTAGTAGCGTCCTCTACCCCCCCGCGCGCGCGACAAAGCTCCTAGTAGCGTTCTTGCTTCTAGTAGTAAGGCCAGGAGCCCCTAGTAGCGATGCCCTTTGCTCCTAGTAGCTTCCTTTCTGTCTTGAGTGTAATTTGGGTCCAAAGACTCACCATGTCCTTGCTCCTCCCTGGTTTAGGCCCGCCGGGAGCAGACGTCCTCCATTCGGAGAGACCGGGATGCTCGGGAGCCGTGCGGGTGGCCCAGTCGGCCCAAACCTGGGAGAATTCATGTGGTTCGGTGGTGGGGTGAATTTCTTCCACAATCTTCCTAAAGGCTTTTTGAATCACTTCTGCTTGGTTGAAGATCATTGCATAGAACCTGTGGTGACTCTCATTGTGACTCTCAATGCAACCAGCCTTCCAGACCTACAGCTGTGCTCCTACCAAGCATGTTCAAGATATCAAACAGCACGCTCACATTTCAGAGAATGACAGCAGAAATGGAGGCGATGGATGGACATTGGTTTTTCGCCTTTCGAAGCCTCTGTTAGTGCTGCTTTTTGTGGGCTTTTCCAGGCACGAACTGCCCAGAACCGGCAGCAAGTGGCACCCGCTCTTAATTTGAACAGACCATAGTGAAAATCACCAATCAGTTTTCTCCCAGGCGCAAAGGGCCGCGGAACGAGCTAGGCACGGGGGGTTTGGCAGCGGTCGTTCCCGGAGATTGGGGATGGACGTCAGATTGAAGGGTTCAAGCCGTTGAGATTCCTGCATATGAACCTTGAAGGGCTCTCCTTTTTCATGTCCCTTGCAAATCATCCTGCCACACTGAGCAGGCGACAAAAACAAGAAGGACTGGATTGGGGGGAAGACTGCGTGTGGAGTTCCCTATTGCAGACCTATTGAGAAAGTTGAAAGGCAATTCTACACATTTCTGAATGGGCGGAGATCAGGATGTGACTCTTGGCACCTCCATTACTAAACGAGTGCCAAATGAATGCAGCAAGTAGTGGTTTGCCACAGCTTGGACCTTGAACGTTGCTACGGGAATACTCACTGTGCAAGCATGCTGACAGATCATGTCACAAGAGTCATGTCACCACTGCTCCACGACGCAGGAGGGTGGGAAAAAAGGTGGGGCGCCTCAGCCTGATGCGCAGACTGCAGTGATGCCGATGCTGCCGGCAGCTGGTTGGTGGATGATTGTGAGGGTTTGGTCATGCGAGGATGAATAGCAGATGCTCAGCGCCACCCGTGTTTGGACATCTCCAGATCACCAAGCTCTTCTCTCCTTCTCTTCAAGAAGCACAGAAATGATTCAGGAGGTTCCCGTAGACAAAGGACAACGTTTGTGATTTGCTGCAGGAAAAGGAAAGGGCAAGCAAAAAGAGAAAGGCTCTAAAGGCGCGCCTCACTCCACTGTGCCATACGACTTGTTTTGGGGGGGGACCAATCCATGCAGCTTGTGGGGGCATTTTGTGATGCTTTTAGACGTGTCATGGACTGATCATTTCCAAGCCTCACCGAGTGGGATGACGGGGCGCCGACGCGGTCGGTGTGATTCTTGCTCCAGGTGACAAGCCAAAGAAGCCAGAAGGCCGTTGCCGTTGGTCGGGTGTGAGAGACGGGACAACAGGAGATCGTCTGAACCAGTTCTGCATAGCAGCAACAGCAGCAAGCAGTGGTTCACCTTTCACACATGTCTTCTTACTGTATTGCTCAAGAGTCTTGCCTTCTACTTGTGGGTTTGGAACAGAGATCAGTTCAGTGTGTTTGCCATTGGCCATTGGCAGGTGAGAATCAGGAATCTCAGCAGGACGGGTTTTGTTTTTTTGGTCAGGTCTGGACGTTGGCTAGAATGTGTCCTGCAGAGATCTATTTGCCCTCGAACCTGGTGAAGGTACTGCCAGTCGGAACATTTGGATAATGTTCACTCTGCGTGATGCTGCCCTCCCACGGCAATCTGACCGATTTGTTGTGCAACTTGTCCCTGCAGGAAGATGGAAAGGAGGAAAAGAAGGAAGGTAAGGGAGAAGGTAAAGGAGAAGGTAAAGAAGGCAAAGGAAAAGATGGCAAAGGAAAAGGCAAGGGGAAAGGCTCGTCCCCGCTGGAGCTTTTGCGTCAATGTTTCGAGAGGCACTGCTGAAACAGTGCCCGAGTGGCCCTTCCAAAGAAATGCGGTCTTCGTGTTGTCCAAATGCTGCACGCAGCCAGGCAAGGGAAAATCGAAGGGCAAGGCCAGCTCTCTAATGTCCCGGTGTTGAAGAGTGGTGTCAAACGTCCTGATGTTGTCAACATTGGTTTACTTTTCAAGTGGGTACGGCCGGGTACGGTCAAAGAATCTAGTACCGGAATTTGGGTTTGCAATAATTCCTCCTCAGACGTAGCCGATGTTGATTCTCCTTGTTGCGTTGCGGACTCTACTTGGCGCGGCAAGCTCAAGGTAGCAACCAAGATCGCCTGGGGCGAGTGGGGGTCTCGGAGTCACTTGAGGAGACCATGAAACCCACGCGATTTTCCCACCAGAAAATAGCAGTTCTTTTTGATATTAGCATATTGGGAGTCCGACAATCTTCTCATTTTGCCCTAGTATTTTGATCTTTGGGATTCAGACAGTCTTGTCATTGGCTCAGTTGGCTCCTCTGGTATGTTGAAAGGACTTGAGACATAGTCCATAGTGTGTCCATAGTCCACAGGCCAGGGGGACACAGCAACGGCTGGTCACTGCCCAAGGCCATGCTTCGTGGGTCGATTGCGAAACTACAACGCGGAGAAGAAGGCTCCCTCTGACTGGGACAAACCGCCCTGCGGTTTACTTGGTAGTTGGAATGTTTGTTTTGAGGATTAGGAGTGACCAATGTGTTTACACAGGCGCACTTCAAATACAAAGGGATTTTGCTATTAGGTTGGAGGCCATCGCTCTTAGTTTGGAGTCCATGGCTCTTCGGTTGGAGGCCATCGCTGATAGGACATGTTCCTCATTCTTCCTCATCATGGTAAGCCGCCGCCTGGGCAGGCCGGCATCATCGCGTGTGCCGAAGCCTATGCGATGTGCGGTCGGGGAGCCGAGAACCTCACTGAAGAACCTCCCCGAGACCGATCGGCGAGTTCCATCGGATGCCCAGGTCAAGAAGTCTACGCCTATGGTTCCGTTTTGGAGACCGCCAATGTGGGCGCCGGGTAGCCCAAGAGGACACCCACTTCAGTCTCCCTTTTCCTTGACGGTTTTCTCTCCGCTCTTTGTGCACCTAATTTCGAGTGCTCCTTCTACTTGATGCTCTTCATAAGTCATGAAACTATCTCACATCATCGGCAGATGACCCTGTCTTTCCAAGAACCTTTGATTTCCGCACCTCCCAGATCCTCCCGGCATCTCCCCAAAAAGACAGGAGGGTGACATGCCCCGTGTCTTCGTGACACGGATGGCACTCCGTCCGGACCGTGGGAACCGGGGGGGAGCTCCTCAGGTGGGCGACACCTTGGTCTTCTTCATCCACTGGCAACTTGGAGCATCAGAGCAGTGGGAACGCCGTAATCGTCGCTCTGGCGAGGACTACGAGCGATCCGAAAAAAGAGACATCTGAGGTCCAACTGGGGGCAGCCACAAGCTTCCTATGAGCTGGGCTCTTGGTGGCCGGATTGAGAATCATTCTATAGTATAGTTGATCAGATGGCTGAAATCTGAAGAGCAGCAGGAAGGAGGGATCAACAGTAGAAGTCACAGGCCTTGTCTTTAAAGCACAGGATGGATTAG